TGAATATCTGAGATGCGAATAGTATATGTTTCTTCGGAAATGTTCTGCATTTGATATATATTGAAATGTACGAAAGAGCACGATGAATCAAAAAAAGATATAAATCTATAACCTTTCGTCCTGTTACGAAGATTTCCAAAGTCTTAGTATTTTGTTTGATATTATCAATGCATAGTATGGATTTGTCATTTATTGTAATGCCGTTTTCGTTTTCTTTCGTAGTAACGGTATAGTTTTCCATTTCAACTTTGCTGTAGAACACATAACGTTCTTTCAATCAATAATTTTGACTTTTCTTTTTTGACACAAATTCGGATAATCTTTTTTGTCTTGCTCCATCAATTGCTCTTGTTCTATTAATCTATTGCAGATTTGCTGCAGCGGATCTATTGCTCAATTTGCTGTTTTGTGGTTTGGATTTTTTGCTTCATTTCGGTAAGCAGGAGATCCAGGTTCGATTCCTGGCTGAGATGGTATTTTTTCGCAAAATAATTACGAGTTTTCACTGGTTCGTGGTCGGGCCCCGCCGTGACGCACACCCTCCCTTCTTATTTGGGAAAACACAAAAAGTTTTCATACTTGAAACAGTTACGAATCAAGAGGACCATGTAACATACAATCAGCAGGCAAATGAATAAGACCATGTACATTGTGATTTATGAACTCTGGGCCATAAAGTAATTTCTCAATGAAATATTTGATGAGATCTAGTGCATAGGTGTTGTGTGATGAATACAATGCAGAGTTACACAAAATATGAATAGCACACGATAACGCCATAAAATGAGTGAACAGAATTTTATTCCTTTTATTTCGAAGAACTATTGGCCCAAGGTACAATAGAAATTGTCTTAATTCCGTGGCCTTGAAGTACTCAATATCCTCTAAACTTCTAGGCGATTGAATTCCGTTGGTACATAGCTTTTCAGAAATAATATTTTTTTATTTATGATTTTTTTTTCATCGTCAGTGAAGCGAATGTTTTTAGGTTCTCTCATCCAAAACATTATTAATTTTTTCATGATGTCAAGAAAAACCAAATGCATTCCATCAAGAAGAACTTGTGAAATTAAACCCATATCAATATTTTCACGCAAAGTTGCACCTCTATGGAATTCTTCGTCTGATTTATTCTTAAAACTTTCATCAGTACACAATTTATTGATTTCTGGAAATGTTAATCGATTATTAATAAAAGTACTACTTTGAGTACATTTAATACAACTGGAAAATCCGGTGACCTTTAACACATAAAAATGCCTTAGCCGGTGCATCACAAATTAATTTGCTTATTTTCACTTTAACAATTTTATGGCTGATGCTGAAGCCATGATCTTGTAACTGTTTTGCCTCAGTTACAAACTCTTTCAAAAATTGGTTTGCGAATTTTGAGTATCCACGGTAAATATCTGCTACTAGCGGTTTTTTGTACTTCTTTTTGTATTTTTTTTTTGTACTTCTATGAAAAGAATCAATTTTTATTAAAAATAGAATTGATCAAAACTCTTTGAACTGTTGGCAATAGGTAGTCCATCAATGTTTACATTTACAGGAAGAATTACGTCGTTTCTAAGCAGATAGTTTTGCATTTCGAGATTTTTTTCAAAGAGTTTGCGTATTGAATTCTCTATGCCGATGCCGATGGCAATAAAATCCGAGATATACTCAGCAATAAGAGACATGAATTGAAGTGTTTTGAAAAGACTGCGTGAGTCCGAAGGTAACTGCGGGTATGGTATCCACAGGATCTATAATATAAAAATATAAGATCATTAATTGCCCGCAGGCTTAATAAATGTCCGTATTTCAAAATCCATTGTTTTATGCTACCAAGTACAAACTCCTCGCATCGTATCAGAAATGCTTTCATTTGATTGCTCATCACTCATCTGACTGAAAATTGTCTCTTTTATTCACGAACGTTATTTCTTCTGCATTGTCCAGATACCCTCCAGTGTGTTCTCTTTGCATATTTTTATCATTGCTGTTGATTTTTATTTTTGAGTTGTCTGTTGTATTGGACTTGGTTTGGGACTCATCGTTGCCTATTTTTTAGTTTTTTTCTTGAGATAACGTTTCTAATTTGGTGTTGGTTGAGTGATGAGTTAGCTTCGTAATTAACACCAATTTTTCTGTATTTTCGCTAAAAAAGAAAGAAGAGAATATCTGTGAAAGTTGCAATACGACGTTTTAACTCGTTTTCTATTTTATATTTATTTTAACAACTTGAAAATATCAACAAATGATTAATTATCTATGTTAAATGTGTGTACTGAGTATCAGTTTTGTTTTTTACGAAAAGTCTAATGGTGAGGTTCTAAATCTATGAGACGCCTGACGAGATGCTGTCGATGTACGTGCTGTCGTCCGGGTTGCATCTCTGTAGGCGCTTTGATTAGTTTCCGAGACGCGATATTTCTATCGTGAGACTTTTCAGTCGGAGTGCGCTTTTACAGGCACGGGCTTTGCAACCGAGATGCGGTATTTCGACCGCGAGACTTTTCAGTCGGAGTGCGCTTTTACAGGCATGGACTTTACAGCCGAGATGCGGTATTTCGATCGCGAGACTTTTCAGTCGGAACACGCCTTTACAGACTTGACTTTGCAGCCAAGATCATGTTACCCTGAAAATTAATTTTGTAATTAATGATGGCCCATCAAGATGGTGGGCGCTAAAAAATAGTAAGCTTCAAGCTCTTAATAATCTCAGTCGTTTCTCGCTCCTCTTCTGCCTAGCGCCCAAGCTTCTGCGTCGTTTGCGTATAGATTTCGGATTGGTCTGCGTTCCTTTTTCGCAACGGAAGACGCGAGAATCTCTTAGTGGACGGGTGGTATATCTGAGATGGAAATCAATCGCCACGTTGAGTTCCTCTCTTGTAGAATCTCGTGCAGAGAATATCCCTTCCGAAAATCTGTAGTTTGTCTGGAGAACGTGGCATCAGGGGTACCATTTCATGTACGATTGCAACCACACTGTGGCTGTAATCGTATATGAACTAGTATCCTTGCATGGCATCCTTTCTGAACTAGTGTTTCGCTTCGCTGTTGATTGACTTTCACTACTCGAGCTGGAAGTAGTAGAGCTCGTCGAAGTGGTGGACGATGCGGAGCTAGATAAAGAAAAAGTAATTGATGAAGATGATAGCGAGCGCCGACGCTTCCCGGATAGACGGAGGCGACACGATCGACGGACGGTAAGGTCCGCGTTGCTCTGCGAAGACATTTTGGAGTCTTTTAAAACTTCTTCCTGAACTAGAATTATGAGCCTGAGAGGCTGTTTTTTTGTTGATCTGAAAAAATCAGTTTTGTTAAAAAGCTTTGAGAAACGGTATCTCTTCTGAAAGGTTAGTGTCCGTAGCGTTTGCACGGTTGGCGAGATACTAGCCAAATGTGTCGGAGCGTCGCGTGTCCCTCTTTATATATCGTGGGTGATAAAATTTCAAATGCGCGAAAGTATTTGTCTTTAAACGCTGCCTAGCGGCAGGTGGCTAAACCACCCGTAGATAGGCCGGCGCGACGTTGGGGACGCGGGTGCATACCAGCCAGCGTATGACGCGCAGGGTATGCACGCGTACCGAGCGCAATGACGCCGCCACACTAATAATTCTTTTCTCACAATTCGATGCATATGCTTCTTTAATACGAAAAATTTTTTTGTTTTTCCCATGTTATTGGTTTTCTAATTCTTGCGCTTTTCACCACACTCGCCGTAATGTTTAAAGATTAAGTTGAACACGAATGTAAAAGATTATGTACCTCTTGTTACGTTTATTGCGATGAGTTCGTTCCTCTTTCGATTGTCTCGTGCGACATCACTTCATGAATATTACTTCGATTCACACACTACTGCTGTGTAAAATCATGGGATCGTGGGCGTGCATTAATTAGTGCATGCCCAATGATGATCAGTGATCATCCGGGTAACATGAAACAAAGGCCTAATAATTTCCTACGCACGCGCTTGTGTAATTAGGATATGCCTATACGCACACGGTTTATAAATGCTAGGTAAATTAAACGATTTTAAGTAACATCGCATTTGAACCGATCGTGGGGATCGAGAGAATACATGTATATGTATATTGTGATATATGTATATATATGTGTATCATTGTATTGTTGACGTGTTATTCTAAATATGTTATTTGCGATAAATATCATCACATGCCTTGGTAATCGAAAAGATGCCTGCCCGGTAAGCAGGAGATCCAGATTCGATTTTCCTGGCTGAGGTGGTATTTTTTCGCAAAATAATTACGTTTTCACGACTGGTTCGTGGTCGGGTCCCGCCGTGACGCACACCTTTCCTTCTTACCTCCAACATTCTATACACTTGATAATAGAATATATACGTTTTGAGCAAAACATTTACGGAACGAAAAAAAAAATTTTTTTTAGGAACGTCGGATTTATTACAATGAAAGCAACGTCTATATTGTCGCAAATATAACATTATACATACAATATCGCAAAAGAACGTCGCAAAAGGTTTAGTTTGCAACGTTCCCAATTATAAAATTTATCGTGAAAATGTGACGTTTCTAGTAGGGTACACATCTGTCACAAACTATCTGTTAATTTGTGACGTTCCTTCTGCGTTTTAAGACGTATACATGTAAAACATCTTAAATTTACCGAAGCATCGAAAAAATGCGACGTTCCAAAATGGTTTCATGTTTAGCGGGATATATATAATATTGGAATTTAGGATTTCTGGATGGGATTTCACGGATAAGAAATAAAAACGACACGTGTGAGAAGCCGATCAAAAAAGAAAGGAAAACTTTTATTCAGGCACAAAACAAGAAAGAAGACATAGTAAAAAAACGAACAAAAAATACCTAGAGATTTGTAATCTAAGAAACAAAAAGACACTATGTCTGACAAACTAAAAGATAGACTTTAGTAACACACAGAACAAATAAGGGAAGTTGAATTCTTTAACAATTATTTCAACTCCCTCTAGAATTCAATTTTCCTTTAAACCAAGTAAAGTTAATGTTTTTTTATGAGTAACAGTAAATAATGACTTGGTTAAAATGTCAGCTAACATACGCTCTGAACTAATGTGTTGAACATCTATAACGTTATTAATTATCTTCTCACGTACAAAATGATGCTTAACATTAATATGTAGTGCGTGGTTTGTAGTTTCCTGTCTTTGAAAGTTCAATCGCAAATCTGTTATCACAATTGATTCTTATAGGTTCAGTGTTTTCCATATTGAGTGATAATTCATAGAGCAAGTCATCTAGCCAAATAGTTTCCTAAGTAACAGCAGCTAATGTATTCAGTTTCAGTCGTCGAAATTGCAACAGTAGGTTTTGCTTCCTGCTGGCCCACGATATTGCATTCTGACAAGTAAAGATATAGTTTGTGACTGAGCGACGATCTTCAGCACTTCCGGCCCAATCAACATCACAGAAACCAGTTAGATTTCCTTGTTTATCTTGCGTGTAGTCTAACTTATAGTTAATTGTCGCCTTTAGCGCATCACTCTCTTAACCGATCTCCAATGCGACTGGTTGGATGACTGATTAAAACGACTCAGATAGCCTACCATATAAGTAATATCTGATCTGGTACATTGACTAAGATACATAAGCGATCCAACTGTCTCTTGATATGGTATTTACAAGGATGCTCCGTCTTTAGACTCTGTAGATTCATTGATAGATAGATTGGATTTATGTTCTAATGGTGTATGAACTGAGTTGCAGTCAAGCATATTAAACTTTGATAATACATCTTCTATGTATTTCTGCTGATCCAAAGATAATTTTTCATTTTTCCGATCTCTTGTAATTCTGATCCCTAGACAACTTTTGACTGAACCAAGATCCTTAATTTTAAATCTGTTCATAAGTTCCGATTTTAACCTTTCTTTTTCTATGTGATCGTTGGTCAGATCAATAGATCATCAACATAGATTGCAACTATTATTATTTTTTGGTTATCCACGTTGAAATATACACAGTGATCTCTTGATAACTGTTGAAGACCAATATTGAGCAAAGCGGAATGAAATTTATTATTCCAAGCCTTCTCACTTTGTTTAAGCTCGTAGATAGCCTTATTAAGTTTGTGAACATGATCTTCTTTACTTTTAATTTTAAATCCTTCCGGTTGTGTTACATAGATTTTTTTCATCTAAATCTCCTTGTAAAAAGGCAGATATAGCATCCATGTGTTCGATGTTGAGATCGTATTTTACGGCTAATGCAAAAAGAAGACAAAGCGAAGCATGCCTTACTACAGGAGCATAAATTTCGGAATAATCGATCTTGCTTTTTTGTTGACACCCTTTGATCATCAAACGTGCTTTAAATTGGATTTCAGTTTTATTAGCATCTACTTTACGTTTAAATATCCATTTAATTTGTATAACTTTTCGATCATCGAGTAGTTCGACCAGACTCCAAATATTATTTGTACGTAAGGACTCGAATTCCTTATTCATAGCTTCCTTCCACTTTGCTGCGTCAGGGTTCAGAAAGGCCTCTTCAACTGTAACTGGATCAGGAAGAACACATTGTGATATATAAATAATAATCATTATAATTTTTAGGTACTGATACTCGTATTGATCGACGTAATTTTACGTAATAGTTTGTTATATGTCGTCGCATACATTTGACGGTTCATCCTCCGCTGATGAATAATGACTATCGTCTTGTCACTAGATATATCCTCATTTACATGTTCATTGCAACTTACATCGCTCGTATCTAATTTATCAGTTAAAGTGAAGAGAAAAGTTTCAACGTCATCATGTAGATTATTATCGTGACCTGAAGTATTTTCGATGAATATAACGTCTTTGCGTAACAATCTTTTTTGTCTTAGGATCCAACAGTCGAAAACCTTTGGTCTCGTCGGAATAACCCACGAAAATGAACTCTTGAGATTTCGAGTCCCACTTGCATCTTTTCTCCTTCGGGATGTGAGCCATTGCTTTGCAGCCAAAAACTCTCAAGTGTGACACATTAGGCTTCCTTTCCAGACCACATCTCGTTAGAGGTTGTATCTGTTAAAGATTTTGTAGGAAATATATTAATTAAGTAAACTGTGGTGTTCACCGCTTCAGCCCAAAAAGCAAGTTTGAGGTTTTTATCGAGAATTATGCACCGAGCCTTTTCAACAATTGATCGATTATAGCGTTCCATTTTGCTGTGAAAATTATACTTGTTTCGTGTTTGATTCCCGTATTATGTAAGAAATTCCGGAATTCGGTGTTGATGTATTCACGACCATTGTCACTACGTAACGTTTTAATTTTTAGATTAGTTTGATTTTTGACAAACTTTTTGAATACTTTAAAACATTCAAGAACTTCATCTTTGCTTTTTAAAAAATATATAAAAAATTTTCTAGTATAGTCATCTATGAAAGTTAAAAAATAACGTGATCCACCGAATGATTGTTGTTGCATTGGACCGCAAAGATCTGTGTGAATAAGTTGTAATGATTGCGTTGAACGATTAATACTTGTCTTAAAAGGCAGCCGATGTTGTTTACCCTTTATACAAGAAATACATACACTGGAATTAGTTTCTTCGACTTTAATACTTTCAAGTAATTTATTTTTCATTTTCATTAAAGCATCGTGACTTGGATGTCCTAACCTTTTATGCCAAATTTCGTAGTTGGAAGACGTAATTACTATGTTGACACGGTTTTTCGATCTATCAAGTTTATATATTCCGTGATCTTCAATAGCAGTAGCGATGACATGTTTGTCCTTATCGTAAAGAGTGCACTTTTCATTGTCAAAGATAAATATGTGACCGTGCTGAGTTATTTTCCTTACGAAAAGTAAGTTCGTGGTTAGGTCAAGAATATGAAGTACGTTTGTCACTAGAACGCTATCTGGAGAACGCGAGGAAGTGGATGTAGTAGGCTTAGTGAAAGAGAGGTTAACAAAGTGAGAAAATGGGTAACAGAGAAAGAGAGAGAGGAAAGGCGCAATAATATTGTGATTAAAGGTTTAGGGGGTAAGATAAGAGAAGTGGAAGAGAATAAAATAGTATGGGTAGAGAATTTCATAGAGAAAGAATTAAGAATAGAATGTAAGATAAAAATGTGTAGGATTAATAAGGCAGTTGTAATAGCAAAGGTAGAGGGGGAGGAGAAGAAATGGGAAATTATGACAAATAAAAGCAAGCTAAGAGGGGGAAGGATATATATAGAAAATGATTTATCATGGGAAGAGAGGAAGATACAGGAAAGGATACAGAGATATAAAAGGGAACAAAGAGAAAAGGGGTTAGAGGTAAAGATAGGGACAGAGAGGGTTAAGATAGGAAATGTCTGGGGAAGCTGGGGCGAGATAGAAGAGGAGATAGAGAGAGATAGGAGCGGGAAGAGAGAGGAGGGGGGAAAGTAGGAGAAGTGGAACGAGTACAAATTTCGACTAAGCCAAGGAGGGGAGGAGGAAGATGAAGCAGAAGGGAAGGGTAAGAAATAAGAGATTAATGTTTTGGAATATAGCAGGAATATGGAGACAGGATATAGAATTTTGGAAATTTGTAGGAGGGATGGAGTATGTGTGTTTAATTGAGACATGGGTAGAAGAAAAGGGGTGGGAGAAAATTAAGAGAAGATTACCGACTACGCACAGGTGGGGATGTAGTTTTGCAAGGAGGGTAAAAAAAAGGCAGGGCAATGGGGGGGATTTATTGTGGGAGTAAGAAAAGATTGGAAAGGGGATAATGTAGAACTAAATGGAAGAAGGAAGATAGGGTTGTTGTATCGAAAATCAAGGGGAGGGAAGGGGAAAGAGATTATGTATTAGTAGCAGTCTATGCCACGAGAAATTGGGAGGCGATAAGGGGAGTAATAGAAAGGATGGTAGAAGAGAATAAAGAGGAGTATATAGTAATAGGGGGGATTTTAATGCAAGAATTGGTTAGAGGGAGGAAATGACGAGGAAGGATGGAGTGTACGTAAGAAAAAGTAAGGATAAGGTAGTTAACAGCAGAGGCAGAGATTTAGTAGATTTAGTTGGGGAAATAGGCGGCAATATCATGAATGGGACAAAGATAGGAGACGGGGAAGGCGAATACACTTACATAGGAGAGAGGGGCAGCTCCACGATCGATTATGTAATAGCGAATGATTATTGTATGGACGTTGTAAGTAGCTTTAAGGTAGGGCGGACGGACTCAGACCACATGCCCCTGGTACTGGAACTTAAAAGAAGATGAAGGAAGAGAGAAGAACACAGGAGGGGAAGAGAGGAGTGAAGAAGAGAAATGGAGATATAGATGGAAGGAGGAGGACATCGAATTATATAAGGAAAGGACAGAAGGGGAAGAAGACGAAGAGGAGATAAGCGAAGTTTCAGTAGAAGAAAAATGGGGGGCGGTAAAGGAGTTGGTGAAGGACAATGGTAAGAGTAAGAATAAAAAGAAGAAAGAAGAAACTAGGTTACAAGGAATGGTGGGACAGGAGTTGCACGAGGAAGAAGAGGATAGTACATAGATTATACAAAGGATGGAGGATAGGAAAGTCGAGTAGGGAAAGATTCTTGGAAGAAAGGAGAAGTTTCAAAGAGCATGTGAAGGAGAAGAAGAGGAAGTGGAAGGAGAAAGAAGAAAAGGAACTAAGAAATTTAAAAAATGAGGCCGAGGTATGGAAGGTAATTAACAAGAAAAGAAGGAAAAGTAACTGGGTGGAAAATTCTATAAGTAAAGAAAGTTGGAATGAGTACTTTAGAAAATTGCTTGGAGGAGAGGAAGAAAGGGAAAGCGAAAGGGGGAAGATAGAGGAGGAGGAACAAGTAGAAAGGGAACTGAAGACGGAGGAGATAGCGGAGGCAGTAAAGAAGCTGAAGAAAGGAAAGGCAGCAGGGATAGACGGTATTCCTATGGAAGCGTGGAAGTACGGAGGGGGGAAGGTGAAGAGGAGGTTAGCAGACCTGTTGACGTGTATATGGAAAGGAGGCGGAATACCAGAGGACTGGAGAAAAAACGTCATAGCAACGATTTATAAGAAAAGAGATACGGAGAAAATGGAGAATTATAGAGGGATATCGTTGCTTTGCACAGCGTACAAGATCTACGCAGAGGTGTTGAGGAAAAGATTGGAGGATGAGGTCGAGCAGAGGACCCTAGTGCCCGAGAGCCAAGGTGGCTTTAGGAAGGGTAGGGGGACCATGGATAATACTTTTGTGCTAAGTCATCTGGTGCAGAGAGAGAGGAAAGCAGGAGAAAAAAGAAAAAAGTGTATGCCTTTTTTGCAGATTTGAGCTCGGCCTTTGACAATGTGAATAGGAAGGAGCTATGGGAGACACTGGAGAGGAAAAACATCAATGGGACACTAATACAGAGGATGAAGGGAATTTATGAAGATACGAGAGCAGCAATTAGGACGAAGGATGGTCTATCGGAAGAATTCAAGACGAAGAAGGGAGTGAGACAGGGGTGTGTACTGAGTCCGACGCTGTTTAATTTGTACATTGCGGATCTAGATGAGCGTCTAGAAAAGAGGGGAACAGGCGGAATAAAACTAGGGAAAAACAGAGTGTGGTCGCTGGCATACGCAGATGATTTGGTGTTGTTAGCAAAAAATAGGGAGGCTATCGTGAATATGGTGGGGACTTTAGGAGGATTTTTAAGGGAAAGGAAACTAAAATTAAATACTGGTAAGTCGAAGATGTTGGTTTTCAATAAGGAGGGGAGGGAAAGGAAAATGAAATGGGAATAGGGGAAGGGCGAGATCGAGGAAGTGCAGACTTTCAAGTATCTTGGTTTTAACTTTAATAGGCGAGGGACTTACGACCTTCATATAAAGGAATTAAAGAGAAAAGGAAGGATAGCGGCAAACATGGTATGGGGATTAGGAGAAAGAATTTGTAGGGATGATTTTATAAGGAGATGGATGATGTTCAGGTATTTAGTGGAAAGTGTGATGTCCTATGGGGTAGAAGTTATTATGGGGTTGGGGGGAAAGGAAAGAATTAGAGAAAATAATGATGGACTACATTAGATGGTTGTTTAAAATAGACTTTTGTACACCAAGATACTTGATCACGAGGGAATTAGGGATGAATAAGCTTAAAATAGAATGGGGTATTAGAGCGAGGAAATATGAGGAAAAGATTGAAGGAATGGGGGAGGAGAGATGGGTAAAAGTCTGTTGATTGGAAAAAAGGAGAGAGGGATGGAAGGACTTATATGGAAAGGAGAGGGAGAAATATTACAATAGAAACGGTTGGGAGGTAGTAGCGATAGATGGGATGCCAGGTGTAGAAAGGGATTTAATTGAGGAAATAAGGGAAAGAGAAAGGGACGTACAACGTCAGGAGGAGGAACATAGGATTAGGGAAGCAAAATATAATAAAAGGTATAGAAGGTTTATGATCGAGAATAAAGCACCTAGCTATTTAGAGGTAAATGAAGTGAGAGGAAAGGAAAAGGGGGAAGGAATAAGAGCATTAATGAGATTAAGGTGTGGAAATATGGAAATAGATAATAAGTACTGGTTAAAAGAGGAAGAGAGAAAATGTAGTTTCTGTGAGAGGGGGCAGGATAACCTAGTATACTTTATAGGAGAATGCGAAGTAACAAAAGACTGGTTTGAGGAACTGGGAGACTGCGTGGAGGAAAGAATAAGCAGGTTGGAGAATGATAGCTTGGATGAGAGGAAGAAGAAAGTGTTAGTAATTTTGGAAGGAGAAAGAGAGATATAAGAGTAGGAAGGCTGAAGAGGAGAGAGAGATGCAAGGGTAGGGGTATATGAAGGTGTGTTTTCTATATATTTTATGTATGTTATGTATTATATATATTTTATGTATACGTGATGTTATGTTATATATGATATAGTATTTTATGTATCTCGTATACTTAATGTAGTAGGGTGATTGGAAGGAACACAATGCAATGCCTAGGCATTAAGTATAAGTATAAATTGTGGCGAGATTCAGGAAGTCGAGTATCTAGATTTGAATATGGATGGATGCGCGGATGGGAGTGGAGGGATGAGTGTCTTAAGGTCTTATTTGTAAATCAAGTCCCGCTTCTTGGCGAAAGCCGAAGGTACAATAAATATATACTAGAACGCTATCTTCTTTATCGTTGCAATTAATGCCTAATTTGACATTACCGACGGATTCCACATGCAATTGCTGATTATCAGTTACAGCACACGTCACATTAGATGAATTTTGGATCAACGATAACCAGTTTTTATTATTGATGAAATGCGCAGTAGCTCTTGAATCGATGCGCCAATTGTCTCAATCGATAGAACTCGCAGATAGAATGATGCAAAATGTTTTTGACGAGAGTTCCTTTTTACTTTTACCTTTTTGAATCTTGCCTTCTTTCTTCATTTTTACCGTAATGGCCTGGTTTGTTACACTCATAGCAACGCGGAACAAGTGTATTACTTGTAGATTTATCGCGTATATTAGATTTCGATGAATGTTTATTCATTAACGCTGATTCACTAGCGAGACGTTCATAGTTTTACTCGTTTTAATATCTTGCAAAAATTTCGTTTTAATCGTGTCACCAGTTATTCTTACTCTCGAGCTTTCAAGGCTCATGGTTATTGGCTTATAAAAATCTAATAGTCCAGCCAATAATAAAGTTCTAATCCACTCGTCACTTATTTCAAAGCTAATATTAATAAGTTTATGCACCGTAGTTACTATTTGATTTACATAATCATTAATCGAATCACAATTTTCTAGCCGGGCTATGATTAACGCACGAAGAAGACTCTTCTTGTTAAGCCATTGTCGTCAAAAGCTCTACAAATTATTCCATGCTTCTTGCGCAATCTTGGTCGTTTGTGATGAAATGTAATTTACGTTATATAAATGTAATTTATGCTATGATAAACAGTATCGATAGACAGTATAATCTTTGCTCTGGCATGTATTATTTTACGTTCGTCCGTTTCGGTACCTTCGACGCATTTCCATAAATCTTTATGCTCGAGATAAGTTTGCATAGCAAACTTCCACGTATTAAAGTTCTCACGATCTTTGAATTTTTCAATTACGGGCAGCGTCGCCATTTTGTTGCGTCGCCATGTTGCTACAAAAGTATCCTTCTGTTTCACAATGAAAAAGGGCTCTTCTCTTTACTGTGCAGAGCAATTCCAAAAAAAAAAAACACTTATAGTTTCTCACAGATTTCCGCATCCAAATTTCATCACAAACATTAGCCCTGGGTCCATAACCTGTTGGAATTTAGGATTTCTGGATGGGATTTCACGGGTAAGAAGTAAAAATGACATGTATGAGAGGCCGAGCAAAAAGAAGGAAGAACTTTTCAGACACAAAACAAAAAAGAAGACGTAGTAAGAAAACGAAAAATACCTAGAGATTTGTAATCTAAGAAACAAAAAGACACTATGTCCGATAAACTAAAAGATAGACTAGTAAGTGTCGGTCCACAATAAGTGATTTAAGCTTTAAAAAGTAAGAAATTGACCAATTATAATCGAATATGAAAAGAATACTCGACTATGATTAGTCTCCTTACGGCTTAAAGATTAAATACTTATTGTGGACCGACACTAATACACAGAACAAATAAGGGAAGTTGAATTCTTTAACAATTATTTCAACATATAAAGATATATAAATATATATTATTATATACGAAATT